AACGAACCAGCAGAGTGTTCATCGCAACGTCGAGCTTCGTGCAGCTCACAAACAGCTCCAACACACGATCCTTCTGGGTCCTAAGGGGTTAAAGCACACAATGATGTTCCCCGAGCTCGCCCATGACCACACTGAGATAGGTCAAAGGATGTCAAAGGGCTTTACGTGATAGGAGTAGGTATGAAGGCCTTTAGAACTTTGATAGCAAGTCCGCAAGAGTGCTGTAACCTTGAACTCCAAGCTTCTTCTCCAAATCCTCTGATTTAACAGTAGCATCAGCCAAAATCGTAGTCAGCTCGTCATGCACGCTGCGCATTTTGGACAGGTTTTGCTGGATCGTGGTGGCAAGCCTCAGTCCGTGCGCGATCTGGGTGGTGAGGTTTAACAGGCCCCAACATCATGAAGTTTGAGGGTGTGCATGGGTATGCCAAAAAGGCCGACTAGGAGCGATTTGGAAGATGCAGTTTTCAACGTGTCCAATCGGTCCTACACGTGATGAAACCGTGCACCCACGCATGCATGCAGAGGGAATGCACATGCACACAGCTAGGTAAGGTCACGAAGAGTCCTTTTCCACCTGAATCTTGTCCACCTTACGACCCAACACCTCAATGAACTGCGGGAGAATCTGCAAAGGGCTGGCTGTTTTGCTGATCGTGGGGAACGATAACCTTGGATCACAAATCGTGCACAGAACACCCATGCATCATCGATCAGTTTTGCAGTGCATTGCATGATGTCATGGGCCATTGACATGTATTTTTTCTTGGAAAGCAACTTGAAGCTCATAACACCATTTGTGATTCCCAAGCCCTCGCCGTTGGATGAGGTGCCTGCAGAACGATTATGGGCATGTGCTGCCAAGGCATCAGAGTCGTTGAAGTCAGGGAGGTTTGAGTTCATGAGGGTGCCAGCGTCGTCCTGGCACGCGTAGCTTCGTGTAACCCTGACCAACATCAGTTCCTTGCATGCCTGAGTGGTTGACATGCACCATGAAATCCAAAAAACCCATTGCATGCATGCAACAGCTAGCCTGAATCTCGAGGGAGCCAGTCTGTGTACTTTCCTCGATGTCAGTGCTGGTCATGTTCCAGCTCTCGTGGGCCAGAATTGAAATTTCCTCTTCCCCATGGATCTTGTTGACACGGATTCGATTGTTTGATCTCGCCCAAGCCCACGCTTTGGCAATCATTGCCCTTGGCTGGTTGGACAATTGGGTGGGGAACTACTTCAATTTCCAAAGTTTTGGGTTGCATCATGAATAACAGACACCGGCCAAGTTTCTTTGTCCATGCTTCATTGGTCTCCAACTTGCTTTTCGTGTACCAACCACCCTCCTTCTTAGCTTGACTGGCAAGGACGTGTTTCTTGGTGATTGCAAGCTCCATACCCTCGAAGGAACCGTGCTCCAAGAACATTTTTTTCAGTTCCGATCCTTGGGCACATGCGTGTGATATATATTTGGTGATCAACAAGTGGAGTATATATGCTAGCTAGTCAAACTTAGGAAGCGTGCAAATGCTGCCAGAAAGTCTTTTCGTTGGGTCTTGCCACATCTTCAGGGCCTCCTCCGAACACTTCAAGCGGCCACCTGCCTTGGGCTTGAAGTAGCGGTTCAACCTGAGGTCCAAAAGGTGATGGGCGAAGGTTGAGGGTGCCATTGAGACTTGCCAAATCCATCCAAATCCACCAAACAAGCATTACAACCCAGTAGCTTGTAATAAAGGTTCCTATCCTCCTTGGGGTCCACATGCACTTGGGAAACCGAATCATCCGCACCAATGTCAGACTCATGAGAGCTTGCTTCTGGGCTTGCACCACTTGCCTTGGGCCCCGCATCAACGGGCACAGGCTCAGGCATTGAAGACGATGGAGGTAGAACTGGCACAGTGGCATCAGGCGCTGGGGCCGATGGAGCTGGCACAGTGCGAGTGGGGCTGTCTGGTAAAGTATCAGGAAATTGTGGCTGGCTATCCGGGCTCTCCAGAATCATCGTGACTGGAGGTTGTGGAGGAACGGAGGGGTTCCCAGCACAGAAAGATCCATTCTGCTGAGCAATGTGCGGTGCACCTTACAAAACATGGTCAAATCAAGATCCATTCCCGAACAAAACATCGTGCAACCTGATTTGGATTGGCTACGAAGGCATGCATATATGCCGGCATATGGCTGATTATCGATCCTAAACGTTTGCTGATGAGAAACCTGGAACTGAAGGCTCCGGGCAAGCTCCTGTTGCCTGATTTGAGAGTTTGCGACGAAGTGATGCGATCCGCTCTTGGCTCGCCTCAATTTGCAAGTTCATTGTCACATGGATGGTATGCACCCTTTCAAAAATTGCAAAATCAAAGGTTGCTACATTATAATGCCAGCTAGGTTCTTTTATTTTCTCTTCCAATTCTCTCTTTCGGCTTGATGGGTCCCCATTGCCCTGTTTGACTTCTGCCACCCCATAGCACAAAGTGTCCGCCGAGTGCAACCGGGACGTCATGTCAGGTATCGGTGCGGCCTGGAGTGTCCTAAATGCCCAAGCTAGCCAAGATGTTTTGCAAAAAAAGAAAAGTGCTCGCAAAATCAGAAATCTGCTCGTGGGAGTTAGCAACAAACGGGAAAGCTAAGATACAAAAGAGACACTTTTTAAAAATGCGCCCTTTTGCGCGTAATTGCGCCTTTGTGCGCGTAATTGCGCTCGGAGTGCGGGTCCTCAATTTCCACCAAATCTCGCAAATTTAGGATGGCTTCCTTTGGATCCAACATAAATACGATTTGTGCTCGAGTTTGGAGGCCCCAAACCATGCGGATGCATGGAACAATGCAGCAATGGTAGAATGGCCATAGCCACACCACTATAGATCTAATTAAAGGTCTTGACATTCCGACTACGGAGTTGAGCTAGCGCCCATCATCTTCTCATACTCCGCACGGAGTTCCAAATCTCCGAGCACCTTGGTCAAGGTTGCCCAAACAGGTGCCCCAAAGCTTGCTGTGGGTGAGCTTTTGGCAGAGACTTGGGGCCAACTTGGGGCACCTAAGTTATAATCCTTGGGCTGAGGCACTAAAGCTTCATACTCCTCGAGAAAGGGAATCATGATTGGACTCCACTCCACGGGCATCCTACAAGGCAAAGACTTGTGAACGAGTTCATGTCTTTTCCCACTTCAATCCCCCGGGCCTCAGTTTTTTGGATGTTATGACATACTTCAGGGCTGGCAGGAGATTAGCGTCCTCCCAGCGATCCCCCATCGGCAACCGGTCAAACTGCCCAACCGGAGACAGCTCGGGGTTCAGCTCCGACTTGAAACGCAGATCCCGCCGCGGAGGTGCAAGAAGATGCTGTTCGAAAGCGTCCCGGAGGTTCTGCCCGAAGCCGCGGGGATATGACCTGGGCAGCCAAGAGAGGTCGTCAAAAGCGAGCCCCGAGATCTACAATTGGTGGCTCTCAAAAATATCAACAAGGTCTTTTGGCGACTTCTGGTCTCTCGTGGATTGATATGGGTGCATAGGAATGGGAGCAGGTTTGATTAATCTCAGCTTTGAAACTGTGAACTTTTCAATTCGCTCGTGCCAACAAATCTGATGGCGCCACGTTTGTCTTGGTATCGACCTGAGCTAGCAGCTGCAAACTACAACCATCTAGACTCTAGACAAACATGAAGCAGCTATATGCAGGTAGGGGACGTGTTAGTGTTTTTGAAGTCCTTTGTTCCTTCACCTCCTTTTTGAGAACTCCCAGGTCAAGACGACCTATTTCCTTCATATTGCTGTAAGTCACAGTCCGTTTGCTGGTTGGTGCCCCATGCAATAGCATCCAAAACTCACATGAATATACCTGAGCTCAAATCAACCGGTTGTGTGGTTTATCAATACTTATAAGGAGAGACAGATATACACCACCCCAAAAAATACCAATATCCTAGGTACATAGGCTACAAGATTGCATAGCCACTCGAAGCGGCGATGCCTGTGAAGTAGCGAACCTGATGGCTGCTCCACCACGAAAACAATGTTTCTGGCTAAAGCCAGTATGCAAAGAAGAGTCAGCCTTAGATAACAACACACCAAACTATTTGAAGGTGCTTCTGAACACATCTTGACGTTCCATGCAAACATTGCATATGAGCAACCTACTGACCATCACAGAAGAACCCCGCACCCATCCAAGGAATAAGTTTCCATTGATGTTTACAAAGTTTCGTAGTGAAGTGCCTCTGGCAGGCACACCCCAAGAAGAGCAGTCTGGACCGCTCAAAAACAAAGCGTTGGCACCCATCCGAAGCAGGATCCAAACTGCAAGCCTCAGCCGGTCGACTCAGCCGCTCGATGTGCGGAGATGAGGGGACATGATGGGGCAGAAGGTTGTCATGTGAAACCTAGCCACACATAGCCCGCTGGCCCCAGAAAATCCATGGAAACCTTGTCGTAGTCCCAATCAAAGCTGGCTGTGCGATATCCCGACTCGGTCCTCGGATATGTGTATCATGGGGCCAACCATGCATGTCTATATGAGAGGGCTTCATGTGATATAGAACGTAATAGTCTTGCTAAGAGGCATTACGATAGATACAGCTTTTTTTCCACTGAACAGCTCGAAGAAATCAAAGTTGGTTTCATTCAAGCCTTCCATTTCTGGAAGTTCAAGCCACCCAACCAAAAGCACCTCGGCGGCTTCATACATGCATTCCGCGGAGTATGCTAGCTAGCATTGTTAACAACTGCATGTTTAAGTTCCAAACCAATGCAATGAAGGCCTTGGGCAAAAAGTGATTGAGGGATGTTTGCATGGGTTGGCTACTTATATGCTACTTGATCAAGGCCCCCCACCTTCGGAGCTTGTGCGTGCTGTAGGCACGAAACTGCATTCCATGGGGTAGTCGGCATAGGAGCTCACGATATATGAACAGAATGCTAGGATCTTGACCCCAAAAAAGCTGTGGCGGCACAAACCTTCCGCCCAGTAAACAAAATGACAAAACGCATGTCCCAGCAAGCCCTCAACCGTGCCAAGGCCGACCCGATGTGAAGACCTTCCTTTTCCAAGATGAGGCCGACATGGGACCTGCCGCGGGACAGACAGCCATCAGAATTGAAATGAATGATTTGGCCCAGGCTAACTCAATTCTTCCGATTCAAAGGACACCAGGGCTGATATCAT